TGTTTCTCGTTTCATTGCCTCGGTGGCATGGAAAAACGGGTCAACAGAAATGTTCGACCTGCCGGCTTTGAGCGTCCATGATGGGCGCGCGGAGAGAGACGGTTGCGATGAACGCGAGCAGGACGTCGATGCAGCACGTGCCACGGCGCAGCCAGGAGAGCAGAGGAGCGGAGAGGACAGGAGAGGAGAGGAGAGGAGAGGAGAGGAGAGGAGGAGAGGAGAGGAGAGGAGAGGAGAGCGAGTGAGTATAGAGACGCGACGAACGCATCAAAGGTCTCGCTTTTTAACGCGAGAACGTTGATCCGCGATACTCTCATACTTATACGCTTTGACGCCGGTTCATTCACTGCACCGTAGATGCCGCCGAATCCACGCGCGATTTTTTACTCATTCATACGTCAAAGAGCGTAAACCGGATGAACCCGGCTTTCTTTACGCAGGATTGTCACTTATTTTGATCGGAACGATACCGCTGATGCCAATTTTGTGACGCCAGTTTGTATTCCCTCGGGAACGATTCCGCCGGATCAATTCCGGTTTCTAAAGTACTCGTCTCGCGTGTCGTATGAATTGAATTGTAAATGCGCGAAAGAGTCGCACGGTAGCCCACATGGACATTATGCGCGCGCGACCCTTCCTTCGCACGAGACGCCCACGCGAATCACTGCGCCGACCATTATATCCGTCGGGAATGCGGACCGACACACGCCGCTCCGAGCTCCGACATCAATTTGCCCGTTCCATTTACACATTAATTTCGGAATTTGATCGTACACGTGGGATAGGTGATCTCAGAAATTAATTGCTTGACACGTCCGCTCGTGATACTCCTAATCAAGTCATCCGCTCAACTGGAGTATCTCAAATATATTTTCCAAGATACTTATTGGATTCAAGAATAAGTTGCCATAGATTTAGGCCACAAAATGGCGGAAAACATCGGAGCTCCCTCTTTAATTATGCCCATTAGAATATTGAGATTAATTGTACCAAATGATTCACTTAATTAAAGCATTTTAAGTATTTTCCAAGATAAATTTTTTTTTTGGAAAATGGTGGATTGTACGAGTTTATTAGTATAAAACTAAAGTGCATAAAATGTAAGTTTCATCGCTTTTTAAAAATTATTTTACAAACTCACTTAAGTGTGCGATATACCCGCATTACTTTATTTCCTTAACCCTTGTCAATACTTCAGGTATTCAATTTAAGCTAGAAATTGTTATAGATCTTGGCGAAAGTCCGCTTAAATGCTTTCAGGACCCTATTCTTTGCATAATTTTGTGTGCATTAACATGTTTGGAATAAAATTCAAATTTAAAACTTTTACATGCAAGGATTTTAAATTTCACATATGTAGGCTTGTTCAATAGTAGGGGCTGCCTAGCTTTTGTTTTAACTTTTTTGTCTCTTTCTTGCGATAATTTAAATATATATGGAGTTAATTCGAATGTGAAATACTGAGCTGAATAAACAATTATTTAGTATATCATAATAAACGTATTTATAATACAAATAACGAATCATAAATTTTAAAATAAATATATAATTAATATATTTAGTAAAATCATATGAATAAGTAGAAAAAAGTTTTGAAAAAATGCATGAAAAAAATTTTTTTAATTGATACGCAGAAGATTTAACGCCTAAGCGATACCCGGATATATTCTTCCATTTAATCTTTTACGTATTGTTTGCCAATGAGATTGTAATGACACGAAAAACTAGAACTGAATACTTCGTTTCGTTTATTACGCAAATAACGATTGCGAATATCTCGCGTGCATCTTCAGTCACCTTTTATCTCGTTCTCTCGACAACATTTCCGGCACACCCGTTATTTCGTGGCGTGCATAAAATCACTGAGGATGACTAGATGCACTTCTGGTACTTAACGTAATGAATGAGGCGAACATCAGAGTCTCGAGGCCGACGTTTGTTAAACGCTTCCGACACATTTTAATACATGGTAAATCGGCAAAAACATTCCGCTTCGCAGAAGTGAAAAAGGGGATCATGTTAAAAAGAATGGCGCAATTTTTCACTCTGAAGATTTCTCAAAAAAATTTGTTTAACAAATATATCTACTCCAAATTTTATACATGCTTGTAAAGTTATATGATTTGTATTCACAAAATATTATATAATTAGATATACATTTTATAAAAAAATTAATAGTATATAATATAAATGGTATAAAATAATTTTACAAAATTGTACGAGTTTATTAGTATAAAACTAAAGTGCATAAAATGTAAGTTTCATCGCTTTTTAAAAATTATTTTACAAACTCACTTAAGTGTGCGATATACCCGCATTACTTTATTTCCTTAACCCTTGTCAATACTTCAGGTATTCAATTTAAGCTAGAAATTGTTATAGATCTTGGCGAAAGTCCGCTTAAATGCTTTCAGGACCCTATTCTTTGCATAATTTTGTGTGCATTAACATGTTTGGAATAAAATTCAAATTTAAAACTTTTACATGCAAGGATTTTAAATTTTACATATGTAGGCTTGTTCAATAGTAGGGGCTGCCTAGCTTTTGTTTTAACTTTTTTGTCTCTTTCTTGCGATAATTTAAATATATATGGAGTTAATTCGAATGTGAAATACTGAGCTGAATAAACAATTATTTAGTATATCATAATAAGCGTATAAATTATTGTATATACAGTACATAATAAACGTATTTATAATACAAATAACGAATCATAAATTTTAAAATAAATATATAATTAATATATTTAGTAAAATCATATGAATAAGTAGAAAAAAGTTTTGAAAAAATGCATGAAAAAATAATTATATTAATATAGATATAAATACAGATATAAATAGGTTGTCTCAAAAGGACCGGATGTTTTTTTTTAAAGAGATTTTCCAATGAATTTGGGGATGATTTTTTCTCAGCGAAAATATGGAGGCATCAATAATTTCCGAGTTAAAAATAATTGAAAAAGAACAGCGTTTCGCAAACTAAACTTTGTGGAATTAAAAGTTTAATAAAAATTATATTCTTTATTTAATTTCAGGAGGAGATTACTTTAATAAAATTTTAATGTAAGATTTAGTTACAAAGATATGTGATAGCAAAAAATGAAAATTTACAAAAAATGATGACCTCTCTCGACATTTTTGTCGAGGGAAAATAGTCTCTAGTATAATACTATCTTTAATATTAATGAAATTTTATATGTATGTATATATAATATCTGGGATATAACGGGTAAAATTGAAAAAAAATTAAACGGTTTTGAAAAAAACCTGTCAATTGTATTAACATACAGTACTAAAATTATATAAAGCAATTTGATAATCGAATTTCGTCCTTTACCATTTTTACACTTTTCTTCAAATATAAAATTTGATTATTACAAATTGCTTCATCTAATTTTGTACTGTATTGTATGCTAATAAAATCGACTTCTTGGGTTTCTTGTACTTGAAATGATTTGATTTTTTTAATTCTATCCATTTGTTTTTAAATAATAACCGAATAGTTTCAATACTTCTTTTGTCATTCTGTATATATAATTTCTATTAATTAAAACTGTATGGGAAAAAAATGACGCGCATAACAAAATGCTCGAAAATATTTAGCGATTAACGAAAATGAGTAAATAATTACTTTTGGAATATTTTTCAGATGCCACGTCTTGCGCGGCGGATGTAAGAACGGGAAATGTTGGGGATGATTTGGGCCTTAGTGGTCCTGTGGTGGCTGCGTTTGAATCCTACTGGCCTGCTAAGTCCCAAGTTATTTCCGGCGTAATCAGGATGATACACCTCTCCCGCCGATCGAAACGGAACGTCGACGGAATATTCGATTAACTCTTAAGGCGAGACATCCATGTCTCCGAGATGAATGACGGTAACTTATAAGCCCTTTAATTACGCAATAAATATACGTCCACCTCTATAGGCTATTAAAGTCGCTCTCGTGTCACGTGTCGCATCTTGGGAATGAGAGTGTCATAACTGAGAAAGATATCCATTTTGGATTTTTACAATTATAACGAATGATTTGTCTTTGAAGAGTGCCGCATTCTCTCTTCTCATCTATACAACGTTAATTTACAATGCTCATACGACGAATTGTAACAAAATATAAAATATAAAATAAAATGTCATATGTAATACATGAAAATAATATAAAATATACATAAATATATAAGAGAAGAAAAAAACATATATATATATAACTTTTTGGTGTATAATATATATATATATATATATATATATATATATATATATATATAATCGATCACTTACAGCGCGATCACAGGCGATCAAAGGTAAAATACTGACCTATATAATAAATCTGATCGTAATTAATAAATCATGCAATAATTATTAACCGTCAATCCACGCGTTTCCTAATCGTCCTGCTCAGATTTGTCGATCTTTTGCGTTCTACGATTTCTCCGAAGTAAAACCGATTTTTTTTGGGAACAAATGTGCAAGGGTCATTTTAAATCAATTTGAGTTAACAACCATATAGATCGCGAATTTATTAACACGGATTATATTAAAGTTGGCGAAATCGTGATTATATGTAAGTACGGTTGTAACTGTCTAACATAAGAAACGAGGAAGTTCGAGATAAACTTAATTATTATTTATCGCTGTACCAATCAGGGAGCACCGATAATTAATTGTATCGCTCGCTTTTTAAATGCACAATTTAAAATTTAATGGCTTTCATATTTAACTGTTAATTAAAAGCTACATTGCAATGTTTTTTTTTATCATGCGTTATAAAATCTATTGGGAAATTAAATACATTCAGCACACAGATATAAAAAATTAATACCGATTTAAAAATTGATAGCAAAATATGAGGTGCTGACTAATTTGTTGAGGCAGCTTTGGGGTTTCTATGCGGCATGTGCCTCGATACGCAATGAACGCAATGCCCTTGGAAATCCCAAAGGAGTCCAACGCATTGCATCAGCCTGGAGAAGGGATTTACGAGGAAGATGATATTGTTGGACTCACCGGTTTTGTAATATCCAGCAGTTCGGTTCTGCGAAATCTCGAATGATATCCGCGCAAAGGGGTATCATTGGGTGCGTCTTGATTCTGCTCTTCGAAATCCAGCAATCTATTCATCTTTCTATAATGTAAAACGAGCCTATGTTATTAATGTCGTTGTAACTGCATTATTCAACTTTTAGCTAAAATCAGAGAAAAAATATAAAAGATATTGGACAAAAAATATTATTGCTTGTTATAGCACAATGAATACTAAACTCCCAGAGAGATATATTAACTGACGTATTAATTTATATTAATACGATTCGCAGATTTGAGCCGGAAGATGTAAACTTAAATCCATAACAACATACACTCATTTATATTCCAAGTCATCTATTATCCGCTAATCGAATATGAATTATTTATTATGCGTTTAATACAATTCGCACAAAAAATTATTAATTTATAAATTCTTACAAAATTATATCTCTAAAATTATTAATTTCAGATATTTTTTTTTATTATAGTTGAAGAACTCAGGTTTTTAAGAAATAATATTTTACATTTAACAAACAGATTTAATCTTACGCAGGGATAAATGAGTAGCTTAAAAATTCTAAAATTCTAGATTCTAAAACAGAATTCTAAAACACTTTACGATATTTTATTTTTACATGTCACGTTGTTTCATTGTTTTTACAGAGACATTATATACCTTTTATGACTTTGATCGAACGACGCACACCACATTGATTCCGTTTATCTACTGAAGCATCTCAGCCAAAACTGATATATTGTTGAATGCCAACTGGGCCACACAAGTGCTAGTTGAAAAACTGTCAATATATCATTTAAAATTACTGGTTAGAATGTACCAACCGTTACAGCGTATCAAGTATAACATTATAAGGTTGGTTTGCGGAACCAATGAGATCGTTTTTTATATTCAACAAAAATAAAAATTCAAAGGATATAATCTCAGTATACATATATCTGAAAATTGATATTTATCTCATACATAACGATTTTTGTAATTGTTCAGCTTTGTAAAGGGAAAAATAGTGAAATAAAGAATGAAATGAGACGAAACAGGTGGGAAGTAGTTTAGCAGAATCTATAGAAAATCATAAACTATATAGAGCAAATCGTTTTTCTTTTTCAGTTAGTATGAATAAAAAACAGAAATGTGATATGTAGTATATATCAATACGTTCGACATGTTACCAGAGAAATAAATGATTTATTAATATATCTTTCTTTTATTTATAAATATTTCGATAATAGTATGCACATATACACAATAGTATACACTTGACATTCGTCTAATAGTCAACATCTCTCGGTGAAAAAAATCGAAATATTTTTTGATATCCAGCACATCTCGGCATT